GATTTTATTTACTTGGAGCCACAATCAACACCCATGGAAGCAGCAGTCAAAAAATCAAAAGACACATTGCATTGGGCACATCTGCTGCAAAAGACTCTTGAAAGTGTTGAAAAGCAAAGATGTCACCTTGAAGACTAAGGTGTGCCTGACCCAAGCCATGGTATTTTCAATTGCATCATATGCATGCGAAAGCTGGACAATGAGTAAGGAAGACCAAAGAAGGACAGATTAGGTTTTATAAAATGCTTTAAAACCAACAGCACACCATCAAGAAAATAATTCCATATTTTTGACATTGGCTGTACAACAAAGGACTGTGGCTTTACACCAGAGAGTTTTTATTTATTTGAATATTCAGAGTTGGTCCTCAATTATTAAAATATAAAATAGATCCAAAAGGCCAATCCAGAGTTTATCTATATGTGCAGTTTCAAAGAAAATATCATGCAATTTCTCCAGTTTGGACTAAGTCCTAATGTTCTTATTTTACTTTGGTGTCTAGAGAATATAAAATGTAAAAGGTATTAAACCACCTCAAGAATACACAATTTCTCTACAAGTTAAGCTAGCATTAATTATAACAGTTGAAAATTAAGTAGCAAAACTCTAGGCAAAATCAGGTGCTTATGTATGTATTTTTATAACAAGGATATTCTCTGTAACATCCTCCTTAAGAGCCTAGAAAGACATGACTCCAGATTTTCCATTCCAGAACTTTCCACTTCTAACGCTCACCACCATGAAACCCCTTACAGGCACACTGCAACAGAGAAGGGATTGATATTTATATGTAGCTTATAAAATGTTTTGATTGAAGGGAAAGTTTATTGTAAAGACTGTGTAGTTACATTGCTAAACTGGATTCCGCTGGGGTTTTATTCAATAAAGCTATGTACTTTTTAGGTGACTTAAAAAAAAAAAAATCACCAGGTTTCAAAAGCATTTGCTTTGGATTCTTTTTTACGGAGTTTTATCCTTATTTGAGGTATCAGAAACCTATCCACTATGTAAGTCAGCATTGAGGTGGGTGGGTACTCTCAACCAAAGCTATCAGACACTAACTCTCCATAAAGCTTTTTTTGCCCAATATCAATTTGCCAGAAGTTAGACTAGCCCAGGCATTTGGGAGGTAGAAGCTATAAAAATCTAGTGCCCTGCTCCCAGCTAAGAAGTCCACATTCTTCCATTCCACGCCAAACAATGAGCATGCAGTTGCCCAGACTCAAAGAACGACCAAGGTGCATGACGGGAACGCACGATAGACTTGCTAACTCTGCATTGCCTGCCTTTTTCCATCCCCCATCATATAATTAGTGCTCCTTGCTTTTACTTTTTTAAAATGTGCCTGTTTCAAATTTGTATTATTTTTTTCAGATGTCTAATTTCAGTTATGTTCTTTCCCCCTTTGGTCTTTTCCCACATTTCACATACCAGACAAATGTTTAAAGGTCTGTAAAACCAGGCGAAGTTCCAAAATATTTCTAAACCAAACTGCCATAGGTGACAGAACAGGGAAAGAAGGCAAAGCTGTAGGACAGAGATTTGAATAAACTGGCTGAAAATGTATTGGAAAATCTATATAAGTTGCTATAGCCATGGATGAGGTTTCAATGAGGCATAAACATTCAAGTTACTGACAAAACCAGCATGTTTCATGATCGCTCAAAATAGTCTACTTGTCATGGTGCATTGCTTTTTTTAATTAGTAGTAGTAAGTTGCATTGTCTCTCTCTCTTTTTTGTAATTTTTTTTTTTTTTTTTAGTATTCAGGAAGTGAAAGCATTTAAGAAAACATTCAAAATTCTGAGAATACATGTAAGTGAAATATTTAATGTCTGTCATTCATAAAAGTTACATCATTTACATAGGGTTCATTTTTATATAATAAAAATTTCATCATAATGAAAAATTTTCTGGAAAGTATTTATATGTTAATTTGTTTAACATACGCTTTGGATATACAGCTAAATAGGAAGAGTTAAAAAGTTCATCAAGTACTCCCTTTAACAATTTAAAAACCTCATTCCTAAATATTTTTCTTTCCACTTGCTCCTTTGCTTGTAATATCATATATAACTTGAACTCAGCAAAGATCAATATTTTCATAGTTCAGAATATATTCGTATACTTCAATATATTTGCTCATTGCATAGCTAACATGTAAACTTGTAAAGGGTCTATCAATTTTACCCTAATAATCTAAAAATGTTGCTGAAATTTTACATGGCAATTTATTCTGAGGTTATTTTTGTTATAATTTGGGTTTTCTTTGCTTTTTTTTTTAATGTATGTTTAATACATGTGTCAATTGGCTATAACAAATGAAAATAAGTCATGGAAATCTAAAAGCCAAGTAAATAATTTCATCCTTGACTACCAGAATTTAACTTCATTACATTGTTTGGATTTTTCCTAAGTATAACAAGTTGGAAATGTACTGTGCTGCCTCTTAAGACAGTGTTCCGAATTAAGTTCAACAGTGTGTGTTTAACATAAAGTTAACTATGTTTGCATCAAATAAAATGTTTATTAATGAAAGCTATTTATCATACAAGAAACAGCAAAGATAAGTCATCACACAGAGATGTACACCAGAGGTGACAGATGTAAAAGTGCATGCAGAGTTTTCGGTTTAAAAAAGAAGTAATAAACAATAATACTAAAATTACTGGGGTTAGATCCCTATACTCTTAAAGGAGTGATAGCTCTTCTTTGAATTTACAATTGAAAAATGCTATTAACATATAGGACTAACACACATTAGCAAGCAAGTGGAATGAATGTTTTTGGACTTTATTTTACAGCTACTTGTGCTTGACAAATGTGTGGAATTTTTTTCAATAATAATTTTCTTCAAATATGGGTGAGCGTATCACTGCCAGGTTGCTCTGATTTATACACGATTTATCTAATTTTGTTTTAAACCACATAATTTTAAGCTTTCATTTGTGTTAGACACCATAAAGAACAAAAGTTTTGTTTTGTTAACATTCAGTCAACGACATTTAAGTCTCTGTCTCTCTCTCTCTCTCTCTTTTGGCTCAATAGATTTTTAAATGTATGATTATCATAACCTAATATTCTCTTTGTCTTCACTGCAGTGGATTTCCGATCAAACTTTTCCCCTTCTTTTAATACTTTAGGGAATTTTCAAACGTCGGGATGTTTGGCTGTAATGCCCCAAGATTTGTTCTCCCTGAAAAAAATCATAGTGACAATTTATTAACTACAGAGCAGCTTCGCTTTCAGGGGTCTGCAATTTCTATTTAGATTTACAAATATCCATTTGCGCTCAATAGACCTAGCATTAAATCTTAATCATATTTAAGCTTTCTTCTCATGCAATTACTTTATCTGCTAATTATCTTTTTTTTAATTCTAAAAATTGAACTGAGTCAAATCAGTGGGGCATTACTTCTATTATAAGCAAATATATTTTAAAGGTAATTCTTAGTTGAATTACATTGCAGATGCAATGGTGTGTACACGTAATATAAATCAGAAGTTTGGAAATCTAACATGTATTTGTTTGTTTGACTATTTAAAAATTTTTGGATCACCATTTTAATATCTTTTACATATAGATATTGGATATACACTAGTTCAGTTAAACCTTCAATAAAACTGATGGGAAATAAAACTCCTTAGATTCAAAATGGTTTATTCACACAAATTTAATAGGATATATCACAATTGTTTGGTCCATAAATATTTAGGGGAAATAGTTTCTATACAATGCATTTATCAATAAACAAAGAAACATGGACAATTTTTGCTAGACCACTTACTGTACTATAAACACGAAGCTCAATATATAAGATTATTGAATTTATCGACTATATTTGAAAGAGTGCACAACTGCTTTCTATGACATGTTTGTCCCCTCTAACAGGATACACCATAAAAAGAGTTTCAGAAATAAGAGGTAAAACAGTACAAAACTAGTGAGGTGTCAAAAGGGCTTAAAACAGTTAATTTAACAAACAACACACATATCCTGATTTTTCACAAACTTACTTCCAAGTTATAGCATAAGGCACATAGGAGAACTGAGTTATAATTAGTCTACTTAATAAAGTAGATCTATAGTACCATATATTGTTCTGTCAAAGAACAAAATTTATAAGTATCAATATTTTACCTGTAAAAGTGTATTAATAAGATCTCAGCCTTACCAAGGTTGTTTGGTCTGGTTAGTGGTAAATGCCCAAAATGTACTAGAAATATGAAAAGTCAAGATTTAAGCTCCAAATAAGATGATAACCACACTCGCTAAATATATAATGGCAATCACACCTTTCTTCTGTTACAGTGTTAACTTCTCTTCCATCGTCTTTTTTTTTGTTTAAAAATAAGCTACTTTCTGTGCTAATTTTCTAAAGACCCTGAGCAAAAGTTACAATAATGCACTTTAATGTGGGCAGTGAACTGTCAATATTTAACCACACATTTATACAGCCAGAAGGACACCTTTAAAATCTATTAAATAACCACTTTGACCACCAGAGGAGATTTAAGGGGTCCAAAAAGTGGAGAATATGTGCAAAGTTACTCTTAACAATCCACTAAAGCAAGACATATATCTTGACTTCTTTTTAATTTTTTTAGGAAATCCACAATCTCATTGGTATTTAACTACAACAGAAGCATATAGTTGAACATTCACCACTGCCCAGACCATTAAGATTTTCAGATTAAATTAAAAGGAAAAAAATGCTACTGTAAACGAGGAAATATATTCAGATCAGCATCCACGAGGCGTCTGAGTTTATCTACTTTAAGACTAATAACTTCAAATCTCTAATGCCAGAAAAATTTTTCTTCCACACATAAATCCTGTGCCAAAGTAAAACAAAGCAAAACCAAACCAAAAGAACTCTCGTTATTGGTAGTAGTCTGTTTGTTTTCAAACATTATTCATATAGAATGCCAGATACAATCTTATGGTACATCTGAAACCAATTAATAAAGCTATTCATTAAACTAAACCAATTTTTTAAACTTCTTAAAAAATTATATTTTGCTTATTTCCATTTTCCCTGGGGTAAAAAAGTAATTTAGAAAGAACGGTTTCACAATTTTCATTTTTAGCTTTTGGAGGTTAAAAGTATAGAATTTCAAATTCTATGTGGAATTTTCATGGATACACAGGAAGTTTAATTATTTTTCAAATTTTGAAAAAAGCTAAATAAAAAGTGTTGTTGGGTTTTACATCCCTAAAAGAAGGAAAAATCGTATTCCTGTGATAAATTTCCCACCCAATTAATCATTAATATTGAAAATTGCTAGAGTTAATACTTTTGTTTAATCATATTCCTCATTTGAATTGGCAATTCATGTAATAGGAATTAACCAAAACATTTTACTTTTAACTTTTTTTAAAATGTGAAGTTTGCAAAATTCCATAAGCACACATACAATTGCAGGGTTTTGAAAGTACCTGATTTTTTATTAACCTAGTAATTTAAGTGGGAATATGATTACTTGCCCATCATAATACAGCTTTTTTTTTTTTTTCCTTCGCGATTCTGGAAATAAGTAACATACAATTTTAAGAGGCACTTATTAGAATAATTCAAAAACTCCCCTTACCGACTGAAAGACCTAATTAATTAAAGAAGAAAAAAAAAATCCAAATACAGTTTGCAGACAAAGTATGTTGACTGAAACTCATTTGCCAAGTGGCTGCAGATGCTACACACCAAGCTGTTTTTTTATTTCCCAAATATCTTGTGGGTTTAAAAAAAAAATCTTGTAAATAATAAAATAATAATAATTAGAATAATAAAAAGAAGAGGAAGAATTAAAGAAAAAAATCCAATGTTAGAAAAGGTTCGTTAAGGTAGTTTGTGAGGGGCTTCCGGATTCGTGGCTGTCCATGTTAGAGGTCACGGATGTCACTACAGTGATAGTGGGATTGGTCAGGTCTGTTAAAGTGGTCGCAGTGCCGGGTGGAGTGAGAGCGCCGCTGTCTGCTGAGGGCGGGGCCGGAAGCGACGTGCCATCAGCTTTATCAACACCCCCATTCTCCTGCCGCAAAAGGTTCCTTCTGAATTTGGCTCGTGCGTTTTGGAACCAAACCTGCAAACCAATCCCAATTGATTTCTTTACCGATGTTTGTTTTTATTTTTTTTTTTTTCCTCTCTTTCTTTCTTTCTTTTTTTTTTTGGATATATTTTTCTCCTTTTAAATGTAATTGTTTATTTTTTCCTTGGGAGAAAGGGGGCTTTTTTTTTTTTTTTTTTTTGGCTTTCTAAAAGTAATTCAAGTAATACTACAGATTTATTCTCTCTCAACTACACGTATTTCCTCCCCAGCATTAACAAGTGCCACTTGGGACAACTGGTGTTTCCGTGGAGATACTATGGAAAGTCACAGAGATAAAGAGGGAAAAATACACCGTTTCCTCAATTGTCCTTTGAGAACGGGGAGAGACAGGGTCATTGAAAGTATCTCAAAGTAAGAATCACTCATGTGAAATAAACATCACTGAGACAGACTTTGAGTTGTTCATGAGTCTGACATGCAGTAAGTATTCCCTGAGTAAGAAAAGCTCTTCTGAGGCCACAGAGTACAGGCAGCCCTAAACGGGTTAGCAGAATTAAAACGCTTATTAGTTGTCCCTGAAAAGTGGGAGAGGATCGCAGGTGACCCACAGCAACCTACTTTAGTTTTGTTGGTTATTATGTTCTTATAGAGACACCGGATGAGTTTAGGGAAGCAATTGGGCAGCAGAACTAATTCTTAGTATTCAGTTTTTAAATGTGGTTCGTTACCATGGGAAAATACTTGCTCCAGTGGGTTGCTGACACACTAACCATACTTTTGGCGTTTCAGGAGTTGAAAAAAGGGGTCAGCCTGAATTTGGAAGGTCACAACATGTGAGTGAGACCACCAAGAGTTGGCTGAAGTAAGACAGCAACATCAGGTCCCTCGCCCCACAAGTCTATGCACTGAGCCTAATGTGAATGTAAATTTTGAGAGCCACCACTTGTACAAGTAACATCACCCTTATTTGCAGAGCCGTGAGGCAAGCAAGCTATGCTGGCTTTGGTGGATCTATCTCCACATCTGTAGGGAGAGTGAGCTGCATTTCAAAAGACTCTGGGTCTCTTTTTGGGCACCCTCTGGTAAGCCCCCACAAAATCTCAGTATACCTTCTAGGGACCTAAGATAAACTAATGAGAAGCAGTACCGGAAATATCCGTATCACTCTAAACAGGGAAGAGAACTATTTTTACTGGCAAGGGGAAGGGAGATGTATGCACAGCCAATGATGGAGGCTTCTTACCTGCAAAACTCTTTTGGTCAGGCCTGTTTTCTGGGCAAGCTGCTTGAGGTCCTTGGCATCCGGGTTGTGGTTGATGGCAAAGTAGGATTTCATGGTCCGGAGCTGGTGGTGCTTGAAGGAGGTCCGCATGCGCTTAGTCTTCTGAGAGGGTGGGTAAGGCTGCTGGTCCCGGTCCAAGTGGTCTGCTTCGTTCTCGTTACAACCTATTGCAGTCACAGTGAACAAACAGCTGCTGAAGGGAAACTCCTTCATTAGCTGAAATGGTTGCTGGCTGTATGATAATGCTAGGATAATACAGCAACAGTGAAAAAGCCTGTCGATTCAATTATGCGCAGTATCTCGACAAAAAGAAAGAGGTTAATTGCCAAAGTCAGCCAAACTAGCCTATTTGTGTGGACAAAACCATAATTCACATAATAGAAAAATAATAGATAAGTCATCTCTTTTGCTTAATGGTTGCTAGAAAAGCTTGTGAAGATAAATAAGCCCTAAGTAATACAATGGGGAAGGAGCCCTGGTGGTGCAATGGTTAAGTGCTCAGCTGCTAACCTGAAAGGTAGGCAAACCACCAGCCACTTAGCTGAGAAAAGACCTGGCAATCTGCTCCTATAAAAATTTCAGGAAGTTCTACCCTGATCTATAGGGTGGCTAAGAGTCAGAATCAACTCCATGACACACAAGTAGAGTGGGAAGGAGTCCCTGGATGACAGAGACAAGTTAAGCACTAGACTACTAACTAAAAAATGGACAGTTCAAACCCCCCATCTAGAGGCACCTTGGAGGCCTGGTGATCTGCTTCCAAAAAGTGAAAACCCTCTGGAGCACGGTTCTATTCTGACGCACCTAGGGTTGCCATGAGTTGGAATCAACTCAGTTGGCAACTAACAACAGTAAAGTGGGAGTGAAACAAACCCAAGAGTGAAAAGAAAACCTTTCCTAATAAATGCATTTAGTATTGGCACCCCACCCCAGCACCCCATCCCAACCCCATATACACAGTTTTTAGAGATTCCTCGTTTTGTCTATACCTGCAGAATGAGACATACTGCTTGAAGGCATTGCTTTTTGTCACGAGGGATGTGGCACCAAGTATTTCTGAACTCTCAAATCTGCAAGTTTCTGAAAGCCTACCAACTAGGAAGAATCAAAGTCAGTTCTAATTTTAGTCTTTACTAAATTCCTAGAGAATTCTTAATGAGGACAGTTAAAAAGTGGCTGGGGAATGGGGGGAGATTCCATCTATTTTCTCCCCCCATCATATTTAGAAAAAGAAGTTTGCAATAGCAAACTTATTTCTAATTTCTAGCAAAGAAATACAAGTTTGCAGATTTCTTATGTAATATATAAGAATATTATTTTTGAGGGCTTTTAGCCATAACTGGTTAACATAGGGCTATACCAGGAAGAAAATATCTTTCCCTAGGAGTTATTTTTATAAATATTTCTGAAAGAGAATGAGCTCCGACTTCTCTTCACTCCGTTCATGCCTGAAGCACTCCCCCAGCCACTGAGGGTGCTTATTTCTAGGCTCAGATCTTGGCCCCTTTTGCTCCAGATGTCAGGCGAGATGAGCTGTGCCCCTGGCTGAGGGCTGAGGGCCCTAGCAGAGAGGAGCAGCGTTTTCTCTCCCCTTGCAAAGCCCTCCTCAGCACTGGGGGATAACAACCCAGCCTTTGAACTCAGCCTGAAAGTCATTATCCCCAGGATGTAAAGCTGCACTTTTAAAAGGTCATTTCCACTAACCTACTGGCTCTGCATAGTAAATATGATTTGCAAAATGAAAACATTTTGCTAAATATTTACTGATTCAGTCAACTTCACAACTTAAAGGGCATGGCAATTTTCTTTTCTTTAAATCCTTATTTCAGATATTTATCTGATGTTTATTTAGATTTGCTCATCCTGCATTTTGCTGCATTATAACAGGATACCTACAACCAAACTTGTCTTGTCACCCAGGTGGAAAACAAATCTGAATCTTAAAGAAAGTATGGCATCTGTTAATATTAGTTCTTTAATTCTGCTTACTAAAATGTTATCTGCTTGCTTCACTCTGCTTAGAATTACTTTTTAAAAATGTTTTCTGTAAGTCAATATATAGAGAGAAGTTTTGCAGTTGCATTACAAAACCCATTTAACAAGAAATTCTCCCAAATATAGCATTAGTAGGCATGAATTAATGTCTCCTTGGTTTACATTTCCATAAGATATATAAGTAGGAGAGCATACTTGGCAAAAGGGCAAGTGAATTCATTGGGGGAAAGGACTATATCATATCTACTTTTCAATCCCCAGAGCCCACCAAAGCCAGAAGCTTAACAGTCACTCAGTCAAGATTTTTGAACGCTTTGTTCATTGATAAAATTACCAGTGAATATTAATGTAAAATCAAATCAACACGAAATAGAATCCAAGTTATATACACATTCGAATGTTGAACATAGACTTCTTAAGCTCCACGAGAAAGGGTAACATAGACCCAAAGATAACAAAGAGAATATATTTTACATTTTATCTTATTTCAGCCCAATGGGAATATGTCAAGTTCAAATATTCTACAGAATTGCACTTTCCTATCCTCAGATGGACGAAACAGCATCTTAGGACCTACCATAAAACTACACTTATCGCCAGTAAACTACGCCATTTTTCACAGCCAGATTATTAATGCACCCACAACAAAATGGTCAAAGAGGCACACCTGAGTCATTGGATGCTTCTTCAAATAAGATTTCATTCCTATCATCTGTGAGTATCCTGAACAACACATTAAATTGAATATTACACTTGAGATAGAAGACTTAAGTTGGTGTTTAAATAACACCCTGAACTATTTTCCCCCAAGATAATATTTCTGAGAAATGAATATGATTCCTAACCTAACTGTATAATCATTAAGTTTTTTTTTAAATAAAGTTCAAGTTTTGATAAAATCGCTTTCCTGAATATACATTCTATATCTTATTGCTGATTAAAAACTCAGCAGAACATATTAGTGCATTAAACAAAATTATGGGGCTTGTGTGTACACAGAATACAATTCAATGTATAAAGAGATAGGTGAACTTATCTCCTGATTAAACAGATATTATGGTATATGATTTTCCTGAGACTATTTTATCACCTATATTATGCAACTTAATAGAGCAATCTATTTCTTCTACACCGTAACTAGTACATTATCCTAAATTACTTAGGTTTAACTACAAGTCCGTTATGTAAACTTGCAAGGGATTGTGTTTCCCCAGGGTCTACTTCTGTAACTATGGGTTTCTTTTTGCTGAATTATGAGACGAAATGGTAAGTCTCTTAAAACTGTCTTCAAACATCCACCTGTAAATACATCCAGCCTTATAACATTAATGAGAAGACCTAAATACTCTATTTACCAATCACTTATGAAATAGTCACCTATCCTAAAGTGGTTCTGAAGGTGTGTGACCTCCTGTGAGCTAACTAATCCCTGGGAGACCACTAGGGGTCAGTGCCAGGCTGACTGATTCAACAGCTACCAGGACCTTTAAAAGTTTGGATGGATAGAAAGAACCTAAGGAAGGGAGATTTTAAGAAGTGGTAAAACTTTAGTCTCTGAATTAATGCTAGATTACCCAAGTAACAGCTGCTTATCCTAGAACTAAATTTTCTTCCCACCCCTGGAGGGCTTTATTTCAATTTAGGATTCCAGATAAACTTTCCATGTCTCTTTCTAAAGTACCTGCCGGATTAAAGGCACAAAGAGGTAAAAACTACTTTAGGAATATTCCCATTAAAAGGCGTCAACTGATCTTTGCCAAGTTTCACATTTTCCCTAACAATCTTTGAATCATAAACATGTTTTATGTACGTTTTTGAAAATATATCAATGTGTACATTGTATTAGTTTTATTAGTATCAACGTTACCCTTTATGAGACTAGTTTACATTTAAGCAGAAATGGCGATGTAAGATCCCAGGAAGGCTAAAATAACGAGCTAGCGCTACGAGTCCATTTTATTTTCTACATTTTAACATGTTTTCAATTCGCTGAAAGTTTTCTTTTGCTAGTCTTGCAACAAACCAGCAATGAGGTTTGTAAACACTTTTTTTAAATGGTGGGTTGATTTCTGGTAAGGCATCTTTAAACTAATTGCTCTAGATTATCTTCATCTGGCCTTAAAGAACTGTACACTATCTACTAGTATCTCTGGAGAGCGTTCACAAAGGATGGCGTGGATGTTAATTAAGAGGCATCCCATGTGTGGTGGCGTGATGCACAAACTCATTCCACTTAGGAGGGACCTCAGCAAATCTTCCCTCCTTCATGAACAAGACAGCATCAACTTTCCCAGTAACCTTGTGGCAGCACTAATTTGCCAACTAAAGACCGAAATAGCTCGGGAAAAGATTCTCATTATTTTTAAGATGTAAGTGTGTAATCTCTAGTTCTCTTTAGAGATGTAGGAGAAGCTGAATTCTGCTGTCTTTAAAATTTCCCATATCTTTCTAATATAAAATAAGATCCAAGGAGAAATCAAATTCAGCTAATTAGATGAAACGAAAAGGCAAAATGCCAGGCTTGCCACTGTTTGGCTAAAAATCTCCAACCATTCTGGACTTTCCCTCTCTCCAGAGAGCTTGCTGGTTGTGCGTGAGTCCTCGGTCTCTCTGTTTTCCCTTGCTCTCTCGTTGCCTCTCTCTCGTTGTCTCTCTCTCTGTCTCTCTCTCTCTCACTAGAGCCCTGACGAGTGTCTAAAGATTCCGATGTCATCTTCTATTAATAAAGAACAATTAGTGCCCTGCCTGTCCGCTGTGGAAACCACGCATCAAAGGAGATGAAGTAAGCGCACTGGGCAAAGTGGCCCCGAACCATAGCCCCCGACGGAGCTTAGCGGGGACCAGGGCAAGGGCGCAGCCCGCCGCTGAAGGTTGGCAAAACCCTGGGCTGCGCCCGCTGTCCTCAGGCAAACTGATCCTGGCGGGGTCTGTAGCGAACTGGCCGGCTGTTTTCCGTCATCTACTGACCCTCTAGGGACAACTGCAGCCTCTCTGGGCTTGCAGGGCCCCTACTCTCTCTGAGATGCCGCCTGCTGCGCCTGCACTGCACTGTGAATCTGCTCTTCAGCTAGATCCCGAGGGAGCAGAGGAGAGGGCTGGGGAGCAACCACTGACCCTGCGTGGCTTCCTTTGAAACTCTCATCTCAGAGCAGGACTCATAGTTCCCATTGGTTCACACTGGCTGTGTGACCTTGGACAGGTCACTTATCTGGCAGGGCACCTTGCGTTTACTATTGAGCACCAACTGAATGTCAGGTACTATACCAGGCTCCAGGGGCTGGAAGAGAAAAACGGGCAAGACCTCTGCTCTAGGATGCACTTCTTTTGTTTGGCCAGGCTCCTGGGGTACTCAGGGTGCCACAACAACGTCCCCAAAGTCCCTTCCTTGCACAGCCCGATGGTCTTTCTTCACCTGAGTCCCCTGCTTGCTGGGGTTCCCAGCCAGAGCAAGGCCAGGGCAGAGGGAGCCAGGGCGGGTAGGCCCGTCCTTTCCCAAAAGTTAACCAGAACTTTCTAGAACCTCTTCCCAGTGGCTGGGACTTGCAAGAAGACCCTGGGTCCTGCTCAGAGGTAGGTTATGTTAGCAGAGCCCGTTACATTTGTCACTTTTACCAACCTTTAGAACAAGAATTACCAGCCTAGCGAGGAGGGGGTCAGGCTTCCTGCAATTGATGCTTGAGTAAGAGAGATTGTCCATGGTGGGTGCATCCCCCAATGCGAGCAAGAAAGTGTGTTCTCTGGCCTGCTGCCTACCTTTTGTTTTTAATTAAGAGGGAATACCGGCGGAGGACAGAAGAGCTGCCTGAGCCACCACTAAGCCTCCTCAATGGGCCTGACCTGGAGGTTCTCCCAGTCTGCCTGGGGGTCTGGATGTCTGGAGGGTCTATCACACAGAGAAGAGCTGGTTAGATGAGGACGCTGACCTGCTCCGGAAGGCGCAGACCAGTTCAACTGCAGAGAATTATTTCCACCCCTACAGCAGCTTGTGGCCAAGACCAGGGAATCAGTTTTTCAACACTCCTGCCAACTATGTTCCCGATTAACTCTGGGCTGGTCACCACAGCCTCTACTCCCTCTAGACAGACTGGGGTTGGGCTCTGAAGATTTTTTTTCCCCCAGTATTTAGGAAAACCTCCTCCAGGATCTATAATTCGGCGTCCACAAAGAAATTGCCCTGGGGCTGTTTTGCTCCAAGTGGGAGCCAGAAACTAATGGGCTCATTAACTAATGGGAACCAAGGACTTGGCTCTGCCTGTTTGGGGGAAGTCACTGCAGCCCCATGGTTATGGATGTGTAGTTATTTTTGTTTGCTTGTTCGGTTTTGGTTTGGGGGTTTGTTTTGTTGCTGTTGTTTGTTTTGTTTTGCCACAACCTAAATAAAGATTTCTCTCTCTCCCCCTCCCTCCTTCCCTTCCTTCTGTGGGAGTGCAGAGAGAAAAGGAGAATGTTGGGCAAAGCACCCTCTTGCAGCCAGATCTTGGATGGAGACATAACTCTGTGGGATCCTCCTCAGAGCAGCTGGAGGCCCGGGCTGCTCGGGGTTGAGGGGTACGGGACCCACCTGAGTTGTAATTGACGATGTCCACTCCCAGCGCTGGGCTCTTCCGCTTCCGGGGCCGCCCCTTCTGCACGGTGCCTGTGCCGTTGAAGTAAGGCAAGGCCAAGCCGCCGCTCTTGGCCGCCAGCTCCGTGTAGCTCAGCTGCGGGGGATACTCCCCTTGGAAGAGGGTCTCGAAGTGGGCGCGGCAGTACACCAGGCTGTCCTTCATGCCGAAATGGTCGCCCGTGGTCAGAGTCTTGTTGCAGGTGGAGCAGGTGAAGCAGCTCAGGTGGTACACAGAGTCGCGGGCGCGCATGACCATCTCGGAGGCGGAGATGCCAAGGTGGCAGCGGGCACATCTCTGCACAGAGAACCTTCTGGAAGGAAACAGCCGAGTCAGGGCGCTGATTAAGGCCAGGCTGGGCCGTCTCCCACTCATGGCCCCTGGGGTTTGGTCCGCAGCGTACGGAGACTGAGACCAGGGCGGTCTCCAAGAGGACAGTAGACCGGCACACTTAGACATTAATTTTATTTGCTTATTAGCCTGTTCTGGTGAACCAGGACAAAAACCCTTTGCATTAAAATCAGAAGAATCGGGTAACTGAGCTTCAGTTTCCTTCTTTGTAAAGTGGAGATTTAAAAAAAAAAAACTGCACTAGCTAACTCACAGCGCTGTAGAAAGAATCGATATGAAATTGCTATGCCAAGTAACAGTGCTTCATAGATGATAAAACATTCTATGAATGCAGGATAGTATTCTTATTCCTGGATGTGTGAGTGTGCCTGAAAGCATTCAGACAGACACAGCCCAGAAAAGGGCAATTTTGTAGAAGATAGATTATTCTTTTCTAACCTCCTCTCTCGCTTGGGCTGAGAGAGGAGCTAGGTCACCTGCACGTAATTCTGTCTTTCCCAGGACACACGAATAGGAAGGATCAATAAGCATGCCCGCCGCTGGGTTTTTTCTCCAGTCTGGTGGACATGGTTCTAGCTAACGGTAAAGGGACCTCAGAACTAAGTGGCTCTGTTTGGGCAACGGTGTTTATTCCCGATTGTGGTCACTTACAAAGTCTACCACCACCCGCGCGAAAACGTGACACTCGGGGGCAAAGTCCGAGGCTCGGACTTTGTCCAGTTCGTAGGAAGCGGAAATAAACCGCTCAAGTGTCTCAGAGACACGTCCATTTACTCCAACGCCGATTTCCCCAGGTTCCCCCAAGCGAACTACGAAGTGCCTGCGCGCGTGGCATTCACCGAGAACGCTCTAGATCTTAGATGGCCCTCCCACTCAGCCTCAGCGCCCGTCCAGAGTGTTGCAGCTTGAAGGTGGATGCAGAGGCCGCGATAGACTTTCCTGGGTTCGAGGCCGATGACTGCACCCCAAAGGCACAAAACACGAGGCAGGGGAATCCCAGGCTCGGACGGGTGGCCCCGCCAGGTGTGCCAGGGTGAGAGCTGTAGGGGCGGGAGTACCTGTAGTAATCCTCCTTGCAGTAAATGCTGCCGTCCTTGGCGAAGCAGGTGAGCTCGGACTCGAGGGCCAGCTTACATTCACAGCACTTCAGGCACCTCAGGTGCCACTGCTTGTCCACCGCCAGCAAGTAGTACCTGTCTGAGATCTTGCCCCCGCAGCCGGCGCACAGAGCGGGCTTCTCTGGGCTCAGCGGGGGCATGCCCTGCAAGGCAATCACACAGCAACGCTGCCGAGAGTGCGCGGCGCCGCACAACGCGGCCTTCCGCGGGCAGCGCCAGCCCATGAAACCCGCGCACAGGCAAACGTCGGGGGAATCTTTGACGTTTGTGGCTTGCTACCTTTCTGCTGTGTCTGTCTGAACCTGCTTTCGCGTCCACCCCAACGGTTAACCTAAAGCTGTCCCGGCCATCCCCAACCTCGCTTAAATGGACTGGGAGCGTATTAACTGTACTTTGGTAGGGGGTCTGGAACTCGAATTATCACAACCTAAAACTTGTGGCTTTCAACGCACGCAGAAGGAAACAACGGGACTTGTTATTGGGGAAGGAAAAGGAAATTTGAACGAGCAAAGATTGTTTTTAAATCCAAACAATATTACAATTCTATTTCTTTAAGTTCTTGTAGACAGCGTTGAAATTAAAGGATTACTGTACCTGTGCTCATAATTTAGTCGACAATGTTTTGATTGGGATGTATTTCGCAGACCCTGGTGTTCCCTAATTTTCAGAGATACTGGTTCTTTTCTCAGAAATGCTGTGCAGCGACTATTCCCAAAAGGGATTCGTTGTCCGGGCCCCTCTGCACAGTCCCTCTTGCCGTGGCATTAAGATACCAACGAGATTTTTGTCCTGAATATCTGTTTTGTGCCGAAGTCAAGCTTCCCGCCTGGGTCCCCACAGGCACGGCCGAGGATGGGAAAACCTCACCGTGGCCGAGCCCAGCCAGGAAATACGGGCTTCGGTTGTTGCTTTTTGTTTTTAAACAGGATAACCACAAAAGAGAAAATGAAGTTAACCGGTGGAGATTTCCCTCAAGACGAGCAGCCATGGGTTGGACCTCCCCTGGAAACTCTCGCGGGCCTGGAAAAGTGAAGGCAAGTTTTGCCCTTTACTCGGACCAGGGCCCAGCACTCAATTAGCATTGCGAATGTAGACACATCCACCCGCAATTTGGCGGGACCACAAAACACCCCTGGCCGGGCTACAGCAGGAGCCCCGGTTCGTTTGACCTACAATTCCCGGTGTGATGCCAAAAAGATCTCCACTGCTCTGTTGGGCTGGAATCATTTCCGGAGACTTTTGTAGTTTTTCCCTTCCAGCTCGGAACTGGCAAGAGAAGCACTTAGATTGCTAATTGGTTTTCTTCATTAAGCGGACATGGCTTTTTATTATTATGAACAGTAGTAACAGTAGTTGATTACACAGTTAAAGGCTTAGAAAAAGTTCTCGCACTTGGGCTGGGTACTCGCTCCTCCGGATTATTTTTTATTTGATTTCCCCCTACAAACACACCCGCCGGAGCCGAGAGCTGAATGCACTCCCCTCTCGCTAGAGGGGCCGAGACGAGTTGCCAGAGACCCCAAGAATCTCTGGGTTTAAGGGAGCTGAGCACCAACTATAAGAAAAATTGAAGGTGGCTCAGTTGCCCCCGCGTCCACCCAGAAAGTCCGGTCGTCAGATCCAGAGACTAGGGCCCCCGGAGCCTGGGCCGCGCCGGCCGTCCATTGCCCGCGCCCAGCTATCTCCCAGAGTGACCGCTCCTCGCTGGGAAGGCGCTCGGGAGCCGAGGCGAACGCGGGAGACCGAAGTTGGGAGTCTACAGAGGAAGACGCCCCAGTCCTCCTACTCCGGCTCGCCCTGTTCGCTCGGGAACGACTGCGGCAGAAGACAGCGAGCTCTTGACATTTCAAGTCAGGAAGGGGGCCGTTTCTTAGCTCCGCAGCCCTGGGAGGACTGGAGAAAACCCACCCGCCAGCCTGGAGTGGGCGTCCTTACGACCCGCCATCCCCAGCCCCTGCCGGCGAGGAACCCGAGGCTCGTCTTAACCAAGAGCGCCTGGGCGCCCGGCTGCCGCCACCGCGGGCCACTTCCTTACCGCATCGCGGCCGTTGAGCTGGGCGCCTTTGGCCAGGCGGGCCTCGGTCTTGGATCTGCGCTCCATCTCTTCCATAATGCCTTGGATGTGGCCTCCGGAGATCCCGTGGAAGAGCATGGCTGGGGGGCGGAAAGGACAAGACTTGTCTTCTGCTCGGCACCCTACTATTTCCATATACACTCGCCCCGGGCTCTCAGCTCCTCCGACTGAAGGAGCAGAAGGGGACTGCAGAGGGCTGCGCGGTGGAGGAGCGCGGAGACTCTCGGGGACAGAGGGCAAGAGGGAGAGAGGAGAGAGAGAAGAAGAAAGAGGCAGAGTGGAAATTGGGCGGCTCGCAAACTAAAAACAAAACAAAACAAAAAAAGCCCCAGCGGCTCCCAGAAGAAGATGTGCAGAAAACAAACAAACCCGGGCGGAGGGGAGAGGAGGCGGAGAAGGCGAATCTTACTGCTCCGAGAGATCGGGTTACTAATGGGAAACAACTGCAGCGGGGGGAGAAAAAATCTGGTGAAGAAAGAAAATAGTTTTGAACGCAAAGAAAGAAAAAGAAGTGGCTATTTGCAGCGGTCCCTGGCTGCTTGCAAGTTCCCAGTGCCTGTAGGTTGGGTTGGGGACTGCTCCTGCCGGAGCTGTGTCCAATTTGTTAAGAGACTAAAGCCAGCCCATTTTTGATAATTTAGTAGGAGGAGTTCTCTCCCCGGAGCTGCCACGGATTTTTATTCAGACAACAAAGACCTGTCATACTCCTCTCAACCCCCTGGTGATGGGCAAGCGGGGACAAACATTACAAAGGGGGGGGGGTGAGGAGACTGGGGAGGGGAGAGGAGGGGGTCTTTACCTCCCCTCAGCACACACACACACACACACACACACACACAGAGAGCCTTCCAAGAGTTCCCAGTGGTCACGTTTTAAAGGGGAAAAGGAGCCCGTATTGTCCCCGCCCCGGCGCAGGAGGCAGAGAGCCGGCCTCCGTGGTCCGAGTTCAAGACCAGACCGGGGGCAGGGCACACAGAATGTTAGCTCCAACTTTGAGTTCACTCTTCCTCGACTTTCTGGTCCCCAGTCGACCCAGTCTGACACCCCCAAATAAGTAAATATTGAGGAAAAATTCAAGCACATCACTGAAGTCGAGATAATGCTCGTTCCTCTCCTCCACATCCCGTTCTGCTCAACTCACTTGAAAGCAGCCGTCTGCCAGTTCGTTTCTTCGCCTCACCTCCCAGAGGGCCCGAGACCCTATCTGGCGCTGGACCAGCCCCCAAAGTGAAAAGTGCTCTTGGAGAGCCAGTGTTTCTCGAGGTTACTTTTGGAGGAAAAAATTTCTTTGACAAAGTCGAGTTTAGGGGACGAGTTGTGGACTTGCAGGCGCGGAGTGTATAACCACACGGTGGTCATAGGCTGATTTGTTCTCTTACCCAATTCAGATTTGGAGGTGATTCTAGGGTCCAGCTTGAAACTTGTCAAGGTGGGCAGCGGCTCCGGGAGTCCCCTGAGCTCGGCCCCCGCCTCCGCGCCACTTGGCGCGCGCGGCATGGCGTGCGGGTCCCACTGCCCTGGCAGGGGCGCCCCGCACACTTCGGTGGGTATGAAAGGGGCTCCTCGCTCTGGAGGAGGGGAAGGTGAGAGCCGACCTGCAGAAAGGCAGACCTGCGCCTCACAAGAGGCGGAATTGTTCTGTCGCCCTCTGTTCCGGTTAGCGGCGGCTCCTCCCCGGCCCCATTAAAAAGTGTCCACAATATTCTGATATTGTCGATTCATTCAAACGGCCAGAGGCCTCCTAGGGGCCCCGAGGCGGGGAGCGGCGGCAGGAACCAACCCGCTTTAACCTGGGAGAGGAGGAGAGAGGAGCAGAGAGGAGGAAGCCCGGGGCCGCGCTCCGCTCCTTTCTGCCCTTCGGCCTGCCTCTGTTTCCCACCGCTCCCCGCCGGCTAGCCCGGGTCCGGACGCAGCCTGGAGACCTCCCGGAAGACCGCCGCCCTCCGCCCGCCCGCCCGCGGGAGCCCGACAGGGAACGGGGGCCAAATCCAGAAGGCTGAAGGGAGGGAAGAAGCAGGGAAGGGAGGGACGGAAGAAGGAAAGAAGGAGGGAGGGAGGAGGGGGGGAAGGAAGGGAGAGAATGGGAATGGGAGTGAGGAAGTGAGGACGGGGGGATGGGTGTGGAGGTAGGAAGGGAGGAAGGAGGAATGGAAGGAGGGAGGAAGCCATCCCTGGTGCAGCAGCCTGACTTCCTGTCCCAAAGCAGCAGTCTCTGAGACTGCTGGAGTCGCCTTTTCCAGGAAACCCAACACTCCAGTGCTTCCCCCTAGTTTTTTTTTTTTTTCCTCGGGATCGAAAATAATGTTATTTGCAGACTGGACGCTGTTAGGTCCTCTGGGTGCCAGAATACAGATCATAAAACACAATTTCACACAAAAATGAAGCCAATCAAGTGAACTAAGCTGGAGCCCTCTCCCCCCGCACCCCTCTTGGCAGCCCTATGGACAGCAGGGTTGCTATTTACTGTAAGTAATGTAATTAGCCCTTTTGGATGGAAATCAATGAGCTTTTCAAACCCGTGCACAGGGCGTACACACCGAAGGGCCCCCGAGGAGGGGCTGGGGGCAAGCGGCCCTTTCAGAGACAGCAGGTCCTCTCACAAAGGGGCAGATTGCCTTCACACAAGTTAGCAGCTAAGCGGACTCAGAGCTGAGGAGAAGGAGGAGGAGAATGTGGAGGGGACTCCAAGAAGAACATTATTCAATTAACCCAAAGGAGCTCCAAAGAAAAGGTAGGGGACCTCCAAAGAAAAGGTAGGGGACCTCCAAATCGTTTAGTTTCTGTGTTGAACCCTCTTTCTCAAATGGAGGTGTTTGGAATTGGGTTCTGCTGTTGCTGGATTTTTGTCCGGTTCAGCAAAAACAACAAAGAATCCTGGAGCACACTCCCTCCTTGCAAAAAACTTTGGGGACTGTTCATGAAGAAAAAGTTTAACACACAACTCCGTGAAGAAGCCAGAACTTTGTCAGGTGTCTCCAGGGTAGCCAAGCACAGATGTCCTGTAAACCCTGGAATCACTCATTCATTCATCTATTCAACACATATCTGTTAATCGTCTTTCAGATATAGCCCCTTCTGCAATCAGCAGCCAGATCGAATCCTGCTACTCCTGCTCTTTCTTATAAAACACAGGTTGTAAGTTCCTGTGCCAGTGGGATCTGCTACTTCCCATAAAGAAGCGAACGGCTGGGATTCTTCATTCCCAGCGACTGCAGGAAGTCTGCAGAAAACTGAAGGGGGGGTGCTGCTGGTGTTTGGGAGGTCCTAGTTAGTCCTGTGGAAATCGCTCACCATCGGTCTAGCCCTGCCTCCTCTCCAAGTTCATAAAGGGGGGGGGAGCAGCTGCCCCAAGAGATCTGGGGTATCCAAATCTTTTCCTCTAGAAGCTCTGAGAAAATGCCTATGAAGGGACCCCTCGCTACCACTCACTCTCAAAAGATGATAAGCACTTTAAATTGGAGAGGGTTTTTGTGACTGTCTTCTTTCACCTCTCCTGG